ACTCTACCAAAGAACTCCTACAGCTGATAAACACCTTTAGTAACGTGGCAGGATACAAGATCAACTCCAAAAAATCAGTGGCCCTTCTATACACAAAGGATAAAGAAGCGTAGAGGGAAATCAGAGAAACATCACCTTTCACGATAGCCACAAATAGCATAAAATATCTTGGGGTTACTCTAACCAAGGAAGTGAAAGACCTATTTGACAAGAACTTTAAGCCTTTGAAAAGAGAAATTGAGGAGGATATCAGAAAATGGAAAGACCTCCCCTGCTCTTGGATTGGGAGAATCAACATAGTAAAAATGGCAATTCTACCAAAAGCAATCTATAGATTCAATGCAATCCCCATCAAAATCCCATCAAACTTCTTCACAGACCTTGAGAGAACAATAATCAAGTTTATATGGCAAAACAAAAAACCCAGGATAGCCAAAACAATCTTATACAATAAAGGAACTTCTGGAAGCATTACTATCCCTGACTTCAAACTCTATTACAGAGCTACAGTATTGAAAACAGCTTGGTATTGGCATAAGAACAGAGAAGTTGACCTATGGAATCGAATAGAAGACCCGGATACTAACCCTCAAACCTATGAACATCTAATTTTCGACAAGGGAGCTAAAGGTATACAATGGAAGAAGGAAAGCATCTTTAACAAATGGTGCTGGCATAACTGGATGTCAACCTGTAGAAGAATGAAAATAGATCCATATCTATCACCATGCACAAAACTCAAGTCCAAATGGATTAAAGACATCAACATCAATCTGTCCACTTTGAACCTGATAGAAGAGAAAGTGGGAAGTAGTCTACAAGATATAGGCACAGGAGGCCACTTCCTAAGTAGGACCTCAGTAGCACAGACAATAAGAGAAATAATGAATAAATGGGACCTGCTGAAACTGAGAAGCTTCTGTAAAGCAAAGGACACTGTCAGTAAGACAAAAAGGCTGCCTTCTGACTGGGAGAAGATCTTCACCAACCCCTCATCAGACAAAGGTCTGATCTCCAGAATATACAAAGAACTCAAGAAACTAGACACTAAAACTCTAATTAACCCAATTAAAAAATGGGGTACTGATCTGAACAGAGAATTCACAACAGATGAACTTCGAATGGCCAGAAGACACTTAAGGTCATGCTCAACCTCCTTAGCGATCAGGGAAATGCAAATCAAAACAACTTTGAGATACCATCTTACACCTGTCAGAATAGCTAAAGTCAAGAACACCAATGATAGCCTATGCTGGAGAGGATGTGGAATGAGGGGAACACTCATCCATTGTTGGTGGGAATGCAAACTTGTGCAGCCACTGTGGAAATCAGTGTGGCGGTTTCTCAGGAAACTGGGAGTCAACCTCCCTCAGGACCCAGCAATTCCACTCTTGGGAATATACCCAAGAGATGCCCTATCATACCACAAAAGCATTTGTTCAACTATGTTCATAGCAGCACTATTTGTAATAGCCAGAACCTGGAAACAACCTAGGTGCCCCTCAATAGAAGAATGGTTAAAGAAGGTGTGGAACATATATACATTAGAGTTTTACTCAGCGGTAAAGAACAATGACATCTTGAATTTTGCATGCAAATGGATGGAAATAGAAAACGCTTTACTGAGTGAGGTAACCCAGACCCAAAAAGAGGAATATGATATGTACTCACTCATAAGTGGATTCTAGCCATAGTTAAAGGTCTTTGGGTCTATAATTTGTGATCCTAGAGAAGCTAGATAAGAAGGTGAACCTGAAGAAAATTTATAGAGTTATCCTCCTGGATAATAGAACTAGGCAAGATTGCCAAGCAAAGTCAGGTACATGGGGGGTGGGAGGGTGGAAGTAAGGGAAGATGGTTAG